GTGCATGCATCAGTTGTTCTAGTCCACTCGGCCATTTGTAAAACTTAGTTACTTGAAAAAGATTAGAAATGTAATTATGATGCACATGCACGAGCACCTATGATAGAAGTTCATGAAATAATTAGATTTATATTATGTTATAACAAACTTGAATATAATATAGTTGTGCACACTTAGATACATCTGTGTAATCATTTTATTTTTCATCTATTAAACCATTTTGCAAAATCTTGTATTTTCCTTTGCGAATTTACCAGGTACATTGATAGCAAACCAAATCACTGGCATCCTAATTACAGCGTTGTGGTCAAGGGCATCGAGGAAGTTAACAAGATGAGCTTGACATTATGTGTTAAGCATTTTTGTCTAGACTTGACACTATTATGGAGATTTCAACAGCACTATGAATATAATTGACTTGCTTGATAGGTAACTCTCTGCTTGTTTATCGATCTTTTAGGTTTCATGGCAAATCTGTATCTTGCCAAACATCTTGTTTTTGGTCGGAAATCAAGTGGCAATTTGGCAATTTCTAGAGGCGGATATCGAGTGGATGTGTTATATTTCCTTCATATCAAGTGGACAAGCTTGGACATGTTTTTACTTTTTAGTGTTATCTATGTTGATTTTTGCAATTTGAAATGATGAACATAGGTGCATATCTTCCAGTTGATTCCACATCCACAATATGATCAGGTTCTTCAACCATATTTACATGCCTCATATTTGAACTTAAGGCCTCATGATACAGTATCAGGCACATTTTTATTTATTGGCATGTTAAAATTTTTGCCTTTCGAAATATTTTACTTGCTTGGCCTTGTCAATTCTAATATTTGGTTGCAAAATTACATTTCGAGTTAAGTTCTTCATGGCTAATATATACTGAGCTAGAATCTGTATTACTTGCTCCCCAAGATGGACCGGTTCTTTTCCAGTGTTCAGAAAGGGGAAAGCATCTTCTGGAGTAATGTATGTCCTGAACCAAGCATATGATTACATAAAACATAGCAATTCTGAATTCGCTTGGGAGTTTTCGAGATTACTTCCTTGAGCATATGATTTGAATATAGCATTCTAGATTCTTTTGTGATATGTGTTAATTATGGCTTCATTATTGGTCTTGCAGGCTGCTTCATCAATGGTTAAGGCATGTGTACTCAACATCTAGTTTTGCTTACGTGGGTATATATAAATTATCGTTACTCTTGGTTCAGCTCTTTAGTTTTTAATTGATCCTGTCTTCCTTGATGCGAGAGCTTAAATTTGGTCCTGTGTCGAAAATTGAATGGTTCGAGGTGCTTGTATTTTGCCTCAAGAACTATAGCTATAACACTCACCTGTACAGGGAAGGAGTAAGGTTATCATTTGCTTTCCACCATAAGTGGAGTTGTTGGAAATCTGATCATCGATTTTTTGTATGCCTACGTTTCACTTTTTTGACTTGTACCAAGTAGCTTCTGAATGCATACATCTGTGGAAGAATTAGACTGTAAATGTAGGATATTTAATTTAGCTCTTCTGTAGACTCTTGCAGGTTGCTTATGAATGTTCTTTGGTGAGTACGTCTACAAATGAATGTGTCTGTTGATTTATCTCTCTACCAACTGATTGCCTGTACCTATAGATCCATTTGTTTACGTCGGAGATTGGCACTTACTCTGTTCACTTCTCATACTGTCAAATTTGGAGGATGCTCTGACAGCCATCCTGAAGTCAGCTTAGTTTCTTTATTCTTGCCTCCTATTCTTATATTAAATGAAATGAGACCTGTTTGAAGTTGTATTCATCAACTCACTCTTGTCATCTTGCAGCCCTGAGTATCACTTGTTTATTCTCCTTGGCCTGCTTAAATGTTGTTCCTACAGGCAGAGGCCGGGCGAAAGCATCACCAAAGACTCTAGTCCTTCTGGTCTTGGAGTAATGCCACATCAGGTAAATCATCTGTAAATACGGTGGTCTTCGGTTCTTCCTCGATTTTGAGCATTGCTTCAACTGATTTTTGCGTAAATTAAAATTTGTTATCTTTTCTAGTGACGGGTTGGTTTTGCGTTTTACTATGAGCTTGGAGTAATTTTGGTGTTGTTAATTTCTGTTTTTGCAGCAGTACTAGTACTCAATTTCTGAAGATGATGAGTCTCCCAAGTCATATGTAATGCAGCAAAGTTAGTTTTTGTTGTTTTGTGTACTATGGTTAATTTCTTGTACTCCATGTTGGATTATCCAAAGACTAGTATTTGTTTTTTGGCACATTTGTGTTGACTCTTCTTGTATGCTACAACTTGGTTATGTATCAGTTTGAACGTTTAAATGAAATATTTGCTTTTATGGTTGTCACAATTGGAAGTTATTTCTAGTTCAACCTCAAAGGTTTATAGGCACAACTGAAATGCTATAAGAAGTGAAAAAAACAATTGCTGAAATGCTATTAAAAGAAGAAAGACAGCATTCGCTGAAACGCCATTGTAGTAACTCAAACGCTATCAAATGTAAGACAATAGCAACGTTGAAATGCTATGAATGAAAACTAACTAATAGCGTTTTTTAACCGCTATGAAATATATTTGTCATAGCAATATAGAAACGCTATGGAATACTCTTTTATAGCTACATAAAAACGCTATGGTTGGAAACTAACTAATAGCGTTTTTCAACCGCTATGAAAGATATTTGTCATAGCAATATAGAAACGCTATTGAATACTCTTTTATAGCTACATAAAAACGCTATGGTTGGAAACTTTTTGATAGCGTTTGGGGAAACGCTATGTAAAGCCACAGACCTACTATAGCGGGTTCTGACACAGCGTTGATTAAAACGCTATGAAATAATACCATAGCATTTTTCGACCGCTATGGTAGATTTCAGGTGTTGTAGTGATGTTTGGGTTGCAACCAAATCCCCATTGGAGAAAGTCCTAGTAGTCTCTAACAGATTGAAGAAGTGTGAGATAGACAGAAAGGTGAATGTACTACATTCTGGTTTTGGTAGGAGGTACAAGATGGACCTATTTCTGTATTGGAGCCGAGCTCACGGCATTTTGAGACACTTCGTTGGAAAGGAAATCTTGGGGCAACTAGATAAGGTGACAAATTTGAAGAACCGTACCTTGCTGGAGGAGGATCGGTGTTTGTTGTCAAGCAATGGTCTGCAGAAGAGTTTCTGGACAGAGGCTTCGACATATTTGGGTCATCCTATTAAAGAGTTGTCAACTGCTGTGATTGGAGGTAAAACTCCATTGGAAGATAGGTTTGGTAGTGTCACTTTGGTTGAGGCTTCGATGAGGGAGCTAATTGACTCTCAGCAGGTGGAGAGTTTTGGACAGACCTTAGAGGTATCGCAGCGGGTGGAGAGTGATGCTACTCCACATTGGGTAAAGATTACTCCAGATCATTCTGTATTGGTTGGGATTCCAGCTGAGGTGACACAGCGTGGAAGTCATTTGGATTCGGATGCAGATGATGAGTTGGATTTTGATTCGAGTGCAGCTGATAGATACAGTTTGGATATGACCATTGGTTCACCTCAGGTGGAGGTGTTTGAGGCCATTGGAGGTCCATTGGTTCGCCTCAGGTGGAGGTGTTTGAGGCCATTGGAGGTGCTAGTCGTAGACTTGATCGTGATGTTGGAGAAGGGTTGCGAACTCTTCTAGTGGATTGAGGCCTTTGGAGGCCATTTGGGTGAACTACGTTCGGCTTGATTCCTTGGGCAAGAGGATACGTAGGCAGTCTTTACGATGCAGCCGAGTTTGGATTAGTTGATGGGGGTGAGACCGATTTGGTGAGTTGATACTGACATTTGGAGAGTGTTTGCATTCTCATTTGGGTTCTCGACTTGTTATGGATTGAGTCTGTTGTCGTGAATTGTTTCACGGTGTACTGGACACAACAAGTGAGATATTTGTTTGGTTGGTGTCGGCTCAGTTTTGGGAAAACTTCGCCGAGGTGAAGAATTGTGATTGAACGGGACATGGGGTGGGCCACACCCATGTGATCAGTTGGGAAAACTTCCCAGGACGCGTTTTCTTTCATTATGTGGGGACCACATCCCATGTGATGATATCAAAAGTGTGTGAAAGGCTAAGAATCCAGCGGGTAAAAGAGGTCACCCGAACATTGCCTATATATAGCTTTGAATTGTCCTAGGGTTTCTTTGGTGCAAGTGTGCGAAGGCTGAGGGAAAGCACAGCAGCGGCTTGGTGCAGAGGCAGGGTACAAAATAAAGAGTGGCGGCGGATTTGTACAAGTGCAGAGGAAGAAAATCGCTGTTTCTTTTAGGATTTTGTACATCCTTTTGAGAGAGATAATTGTGTGAGGGATTTGAGAGTTTGTTTGAGAGGGTTTAGATTGAGTGATTGCAAACCCTATCTCTCCCTCTAATAGTAGATCTCCCCCTCCTTGCCCCGTGGACGTAGGCAGTTTGCCGAACCACGTAAAATTGGTTTGTTTGAGTTTGTGGCCATTGTAATAGTTTTTAGGATCCCTCGACGCGCAGTCCTAGAGCTGACGAGAGGAAGAGCTAATATCCCACTTTGATGAGATATTAGGCTTTCAGATTCTTGTTCCCTTTGAGAAACAAGAATTCTTATCGATCTTTCTCTCTTATTGTGCACCAGAAACTCTGCCGAAATTTCCGCTGCGCACAACATCCCCCTCCTATTGGATAATGATGATGATCAACTCGTTATCTAATAGAAGAGAGACACCTCATTTGTCCCCCTATTAGTCCCATATTTTAGGTTCTTAAGGAATTTTTCTTAAATTAAAGGCGGTGAAACTTTGACGTACTCTTGCCGCATGTATAAGCCTAAAGACATTGAGAGAAACAAAAGGCATTAACTTTCAGGTTATTAAATTGCAATTAACCAAATTGTATAATAGCAAGGCGCCAACTGCAAAAAAGGGAAAAGGCAAGAAAATGGTAAGAAAATAATTAAGCTGAAAGTAGGTGGGTCCGAATAGAAATGTGGCTCCTATTAAATTCCGCTGGTCTCAGCCCTCTCTCCGCCTCTCGCTCTCTCGCTCCTTTGTGGAAAGAACCCCCAAAAGGGCAAAAAGATAATAATTTTTTTTTTTTAAAAAAACAAGAAACTAGGGAGAAGAAGATAAAATTGTGGGGAGATTGGAGAGCAATGGCGTTGAGATTGGCTTTCAGAGTCGAGCCCTTCCTTTGCTTCTATCCACCGAAGAGCAGAAGGAATGGCCATGTCTCCAGATCTCCAACGGTTTCTATGGCTTCCACCATTGGATCCTCTTCTTCCACCGCTAAGTAAGATACTTTCTATTTTTTTTTCCTTCGGCTATTTTGTTATTCTTTGGTGAAACCGAAGTGGGGTTTTCGTTCTGTTCGATACCGTGATGTGGGTTCTTGTTTTTCGGCTGTTTTCAGCCCCCAATTTTGATTTTTTTATTATTTTTCTAATTGAAAAAATGTATTTTTTTGGAATCGCTTACATGAACGATTAT